AGAGCTAGGATTACAGGCGTGAGCCACCGCGCCCGGCCCTAACTATCTGTTTTTTTGGTACTCATTAACCATCCCCACTTTATCCCTTCCTCCCTGCTACCCTTCTCACCCTCTAGTAACCATCATTCTACTCTCTGTCTCCATGAGATCAGTTGTTTTTAATATGTATCTCACAATTTTAATATGTGAGATTTGTCTTTCTGTACTTGACTTGTTTCACTTCACGTAATATTCTCCAGTTCTATCCATGTTGTTGCAAATGGCAGGATTTCATTCTTTCTTGTGTCTATGTAATATTTCAACATGCACATGTACCACAATTTCTTTATCCATTCATCTGTTGATGGACACTTAGGTTGAATAGTGCTGCAGTAAACATGGGAGTGCAGATATCTTTTTGATATACTGAAATTCCCCTCCTTTGGATATATTCCCAGCAGTGGGATGGCTGGGTCATATGATAGTTTTTTGAGGAGCCTCTATACCATTCTCCATACTGGTTGCACTAATTTACATTCCCAGCAACAGTGTACGAGAGTTCCCATTCTCCACATCCTTGCCAGAATTCATTATTGTCTGGGTCTTTTTGATAAAATCCATTTTAACTGGGGTGAGATAATATCTTATTGTAGTTTTGATTTGCATTTTTCTGATGACTAATGACACTGAGCATTTAGAAATGAGGATGGTATTATGGCCAGACACCTGCTCTGCCTGTTAGTCTTCCGCTTCCTGAAATATAGTATCCCCACTTATCGGCAGGGGATAAGACCCCCGGTGGATGTCTGAAACTGCAGATAGTACCAAACCTGATTGGTGTCAACTGGGACACGTCTCTGTTTATGTCTTCTACCCACAAATTTAACATATTTTCCATCTTAACTAAGCACTTATCACACACCGTGGCTGGAACTTTTGCAGTTTGAGGTGTGACAGCAAAACTAGCACTAATTTCTTTTTCTTTCTTCACAAGTTCACGGATAGAAGATTTATTCTTACTGTAGATTTTAGCAACCTCAGCATAGGATTTTTTTCTGTCCTTACTAAGTGGAGAACTTCCACCTTTTCACTTAAAGGAAGTACTTTATGGCTTCTCTCTGGCATATCTTTGGCCAGCCTTACTAGTCTTGCACTTTGGGGCTGTAATTAAGTAAAACAAGGATTACTTGAACCCTGTGATACTGTGACAGTGAATCTGATAACTGAGACGGATACTAAGGGACTGATGGGTAGGGAGCATAGACAGCATGGAGACGCTGGACAAAGAGGATTCTCATCAAGGGGGCATGGTGTGAGATTTTATTCTGCTACGTGGAACAGCACACAATTTAAAACTTATGAGTTGTTTATTTCCGGCACCGTGAAGTGTCTCTGGAGGTGGCCTTCTCTTACCCTGAGTAGAAAAGAAGTTACTTGGAACCCTCCCCAGGAAGCAGAAGCTGGTTAGTGGTAGGGCAGAGGGGGCTTGCATTGGAAGGTGGGCCAAAGCATCCCCTCCCTAAATACTTACCTGGAATTTACTGGAACAATTTAGTAAATTATCTGTTTTCTGGAATTAAAATGTGCATGTTTCTTGAGAGCAAGTACCACCTTAATCACCTTTATATAGTCCTTGCTCAATAGTTTATTGAATGTAAAGATGCTCAACAAATGTATGTTGAACTAATATAGAATGTAATTAAGATTTATAATAACCTTTGTGAGCTGTATGTCAAAAGCAGATAAAATGTACAATAAAGTAGAAGTTTCAAATGTTTTGTTCTTTTTTTAAAAAAAAAATAGCAACTGCAGAATAGCTTGATGGAATTTGGAGAACCATGGAAAATGAACCCAGGAGATGGAGCATTTTATGGCCCTAAAGTAAGTAAACCATATGCTTCAAAAAAGTAAAATTTAAAAGAAAAATAAATACTGCTTCTAAGCAAACATCATTTAATTTACAGATTGATATAAAAATCAAGGATGCTATTGGCAGATACCATCAGTGTGCTACAATTCAGCTGGACTTCCAACTGCCTATTAGATTTAATCTCACATATGTTAGGTGAGTGATTGAATATGCTAAATAATGTACTACTAATATCCTAATTATTTGTTATGTGAGCATTAGCAATACAAAAATAAACATCAGCGAATGTCTAGTATATGTGCTATATGCTCAATATATATTTGTTTACTGTGTATAATCCAGTTGGGGTTCTGAGGCTATGGTCTAGTGGGGGAAGGAAGATAAGTAAGAATACAATTAAGGATATGAACAAAATATCATGAAAACATGACCCAGGCTGCTAACTCCCTGAGACGGATGGGGAAGACTTTACAAAATGCTGGCATTGGGTTTATCTTGAGATAAACCCAATGAGATATTTGCCAGAAAAAGCAGATTAAAAAAAGGCAAATCCACAACTTCTTTGAAAAAAAAAATTCTTTTACACACAGTAAAATTCACTCTGTGTGTGTGTGTACAGTTGAATGAGTTTTGATACATGTTTAGAGTGGTGTGACCACCTCCATAATTGTGGATTCTATCATCCCAATAAACTCCCTTGTGCTGTGACTTTGTAGACACACTCTCCTCCTGCCCCTAAACCCTGGAAACCATTCATATGTTCCCCATCACTATAGTTTGCTTTTCCAGAATGTCGTATAAATGGAATCATGCAGTATGTAACCTTATGGGACTGCTTCTTTCACATAGCATAATGCCTTGGAGGTTCGTCCGTATTTTTGCATGTCTTAATAGTTGGTTCTTTGTTGTTGCTGACTAGTATGCCAGTGTATGGATGCACCACAATTTGCTTGTCTAATCACTCGTTTAAGGACATTTGGGCCGCTTCCAGTTTTTAGTGCTTATGAATAGAGCTGCTATAAATATTAGTGTACAGGTTTTTGTGTGAATGTAAGTTTTCATTTCTTTAGGGTAAATACTTGGAAATGGGTCATATGATAAGTGTATTAACTTTGTAGAAATTGCCACATTGTTTTCTCTAGTATCTGTACCATTTTGCATTCTCACCGGCAATGTGAGAGAGTTCCAAATGTTCCATATCCTTGTCAGCACTTGGTATTGTCAGGTTGTTTGTTTATTTTAAAGCACTCTAATAGGTGTGTATTAGTATTTCATTATGTTTTGATTTTGTATTTCTTTAGTGGCTAATGATAACATCTTTTCATGTGCTTATTTGCTATTCATATATCCTCTTTGGTTAAATGTCTGCTCAAGTTTTTTGCCCATTTTTTTAATTGGGTTGTTTTCTTACCATTGAGTTTTGAGAGTCCTTTATATATTCTAGATACATTTCATCTAAGTTGTCAAAATTATATGCATAGAGTTGCTCATAGTATTTCCATATTATACTTGTAATTTCTGTGAAGCCTATATTGATATCTCCTCTTTCATTTGTAACATTAATAATATGTGTCTTTTCTCTTTTTTTCATTGTTGGTTTGGCTGTAGATTTATCAATTGTATTAATCTTTCAGAGAACTGACTTTTAAATTCATTGATTTTCTCTATTTTTCTGTTTTCAATTTACTGATTCCTGTTCTTTATTATTAATACTTCCTTTATTTTGCTTGCTTTAAGTTTATTTTGCTCTTATTTTTCTGTTTTTTTTAAGATAAAAGCTTAGATTGTTGATTTGAGACCTGTCTCCTTTTCTAATATAATAATTTAATGCAGAAGCCTGCATTCTGTAAAGGGCAAGATTGTTAATGTTTTAGGCTTTGTGGACCATACAGCCTTTATTGCAAATACTCAACTCTATGATTGTAGTGGGAAGGCAGCCATAGACAATATATAAACAAATGTATGTGGCTGTATTCCAATAAAACTTTATTTATAAAAATAGGCCATCAGCTGGAATTGGCTCATAAACCGTAATTTGATGACCCTGATTTTACACTGTAAATGTTTCTCAAATACTGCTTTAGATACATCCTATAACTATTGATATCTTGTGTTTTCATTTTCATTCAGTTCAGAATATTTTCTAATTTCCCGTAAGACTTCCTCTTTGGCTCATGGTTTATTTTGAAATGCATTATTTAATATCCAATTGTTTGATGGCTTACCAGTTATCTTTCTGTTATTTGTTTCTAGTTCAGTTCCATTAGTGTCAGAAACCATATTTTGTATGGTTTCAATTCTCTTAAATGCATTGGGGTTTGAATGTTTCATATGTACTTGAAAAGAATGTGTGTGCTTTCTGCTGTTGTTGGGTGTAATGTTTCATAAAAGTCAGTTAGATCTTCTTGGTTAATGGTGCTGTTCAGTTCTTCTATAACCTTACCGATTTTCTCTCTCCTTTTTCTATTGATGACTGAGAAAGGAGTGTTGAAGTCTACAGTGGTAATGGTGGACTTGTCAATTTCTCCTTTCAGTTCTTCCTTTATGTATTTTGAAGCTCTGTTGTTAGGTACATCATGTTTAGGATTTTTATGTCTTCTTGGTGAATTTACCCTTTTATCTCCATTATCATCACATAATGTCCCTTTTTATCCCTGGTATTCCTGCTCCAAAGTTTACTTTGTGTGATGCTAATATAACCACTCCAGCTTTATTTTGATTAGTGTTTGCATGCATAGTATATCTGTATCTTTTCCCATCCTTTTGCTTTTAATATGCTTATGGCATTATATTCAAAGTGGGTTTCTTATAGACAACATATTGTTGTGTCTTGTTTTTTTAAAAATCTGTTATGACGATCTGTCTTATAATTGGTGTGTTTAAACAACTTTTTAAAAATAAGCTTTCAATTTTGGAGTAATTTTGGATTTACAGAATTATAAAGGTATTACTGGGAGTTCCTGTTTCTTCATCCAGTTTCCTATACCTTCATCCATTTTCCCCTAATGTTAGCATCTTACACAACCATGATACATTTGTCAAAACTAAGAAATTAACACTGATACGATACTATTTAACTGAACTGCAGGCTTTATTTGGATTTCACCAGTTTTTTCATTAATGTCCTTTTCCTATTCCAAGATCCAATTCAAGATACCACTGCATTTAGTCAACATGTCCCCAAAATCTCTTTTGATATGTGACAGTTTCTCAGTTTTTTCCTTGTTGTTCATCAGCTTGACAATTTTGAGGAGTACTGGTCAGGTATTTTGTAGAATGTCTCCCATTTGAGATTTGTCTAATGTATTTCTCACGATTAGTTTAGGGTTATGGGTTTTTGGAAAGAACTCCACAGAGATGAAGTGTGCTTCTCATCATATCACATAAAGGTGACCAGCTGACATGAATATTAGACCTTTTGGTGTTGTCCCACAGTTTGCTGAGGCTCTGTTTATGCTGTCTTTAGTCTTTCTTCTGTAAGTGCTTCAGACTGGATACTTTCTATCCATCTGTCTTAAAATTCACTGACTCTTTATCATCTCCTTTGTAATGAGTCCATCTAATGACTTTTTTATTTCTGCCATTGTATATTTCAGTTCTACAATTTCTATTCTTTATATCTTGCATTTCTTTGCTAAGACTTTTATCTCTCCACTTACTCCACTTGTGTTCACGCTTGCTTTTTGGAGCATGATTTAATAGCTGCTTTATAGTCTGTGATAATTCCATCATCTGTGTCTTCTCACTGGTGGACTCTTATTTATCTTTTCTCTCATAAATTGAGATTTTCCTGATGATTCATATGCCAAGTGATTTGGACTGTATCCTGGACATTTTGAGTATTATGTTATGAGACGCTGGGTCTTATTTAAATCCTAAGGGGATAGAGAGTTTTTTTTTGTTTGTTTTAGCAGAAACTGCTTGCCTAGGCAGTAGTTGCCAATCCACCTTCTGGGGACTGTGGTTCCACCGTCAGTTCAGTTTTCAAAGCCTTCGTAGGGATATTCGAATCAGTTCTATGTGCGCCACCCAGTGGCCAAGTCTCAAAGTTCAGTTCTCAAGCCTCTTGTATGCTGTCTAGCATGTGCAGCTCAGAGGTGAGACCAGGTGAGGTCATACACTACGTTATGGGATAGCTGTTTTGAGCTCCCTGCTCTTTGACACCTTTAGTTCCCTGGGATCCCTTATGATGGTCCCGTGGCCAGAAAGCTGAAGCTTTAGCTTCCCCACTCCACCATGTTCTTTCCATGACTGCACCTGTCAGAGACCAAGCTCAAGAGACCAGAGAAAAAGAAAAAGGAAGGGGAATTTACCCTGTGCACTTGGACCATTATCCTTCTGATCATAAAGAAGGATCTCCTTCCTCAGAGTGTTAGGTGCCTCTTTAGTCTTTGCTGCCTCTGTGCGCCTGTGGGAGTGCCTGGGATTTGGGGGGAAGGGAGCAAAAAAAAAGAAAAAAATAACCCAGGATCCACCTCCGCCATTCTTTCTGGAAACTTAAGAGTTATCTTTCTGGCTCCTTGGCCAGAAAGTGAGGATTTCTCCCGAAGTTCTTCCTGTATGCATCTGGCACATACTTCTTGCGTCAGGGCTGCCTTTGAGTCCAGGCCGTAGGAAACTGGAAGATAAAATTACAGGAAACTCACTGCTGGTTTGTGAATACTTCAGGTTCTGATCTTCTACAATCCACCTGTTTAGTTTTCAGAGTCTTCAGATAGCTGCTGCATGCATTCTCTCCACAGTCTATGTTTGCATCCATTGAGAGTGCCAGGGTAGAGCATGCTTACTCCATTTTGCCTGGAATCAAATTCTTTTTAAAGATCATTCCCCTAATCTGCATTAGACAAAATCATGGCAACATCCATGGAAACTGTCCTCTACTCACCATGTCCAATTTTAGATAGAATGTTGCTTAGATACTGCGTTGAGTTCTCTTTCACTCAGAATTACTAATGAAGACAAAAAGGGAAAAATTATTAGCATGTTTCAAATCCAATAGTTTTTAGTAGAATATTTTCCTATTAAGAGTCAGGATAAACAAGTACCATTTTCTTAGAGTATATGATTTCATGGATTGATCTCAATTTGTGTCCAAGCAATAAAAGTATAATTTTTTTGTATTTTGTATTCTCCATATTGTGTTTTGATTACTATTTATAGAGCTACATTAACATATTAAGAGTTAGCTCATGGAGAGAGGTTAAAAGACTGAAGGAATAATTGAAGTGTTGAAGTGTTACATATAGAGAATGACAACAAGACATGAGACTAATAAAAATGCTCAAGAGAATGAAGGAGAAAACATAGCCCTTTCAAAAATAAATTTGGCCTTTTGGGAAAGATGATGTCTTAAGTTCATGTCTGCAAAACTCTCTTTCCCTAGTACCCTTCTAAAATGAACAAAAGAATGAGGGGTGGGGAGACCTTATTTATGCTGAAATGACCCTACTATTTCAATAAAATTTGAGCACCATTGGTCATTACATTTATTGATTAGAAATACCATGCACCAAAATGGAAGAGCTTCTGGGAGTTGACCCCTAAGTTTTCATCCAGTTGGTATAATGGAATTAGTATGACTCTGAAAAGTCCCACTGATTTCTCCCAGTTTGGAGGGGCAAGTGCCGGAACTATTGGTAGCTTTAGTAGGACAGTCAAATCTTCTTCAGGACTGGTTCAACAACGGAAGATGGCTCAGAGCCATGAGAATCAAAGTGAAACTTCTCATCCAGGAGGACATGGAAGAGAAACAGATCAGCCAAGCCAGCCACCCTAGATGTTGTGTGGCAAGTGGAGGGTAGGAGGGCCAAAGTGGAAACAGTAGTCTGTAGACCAGGAAAGAGATGGTGACGGTTAGAGCAGGTGGTAGTAATAGAGATGAACAAAGTGGGGGCATTGGGATGTATTTTGGAGGAAGAACTGATGTGATTTGTTCAGAATGAGGGGAAAGAAGCATTAAGGTCATTACCATGATCAAGTAAGGTTTTTTCCTGAGAAAGCAAGGATGGTTTAGTATTGAGAGTGTGTTATTCATCACATTCAATAAGGCAGAATGCATTGGATAAAATTGAATAATCATTCCTGTGAAATGAGCAGAAAGGAATTTCCTCTTCATGATAAAGAGAATTTATCAGAAAACAATAGTAACATTTCAACATAATCGGGAGACGCTGAATATGCCTACCATTTGTACTGTACTCAGAATTATTCTGGGAGTGCAGATATTTGAAAGAAAGATAAAATTGTTTGAAAGAAATAAAATCATTGTTTGTAGTTGTTAAAATGTCAAGAAATCCAACAGAATCAAATGGAGGAAAAATGGAACTAATCATAAAGGAAGGTAGAGATGCAAAAGGCAATTTGCTTTTATATATATTAGCAATAACCTACTAGGAAATGTAATGGAAAAAATATTTCAGAAGCAACAGCAACAACAAACTAGAAAATATCTAAGAATAAACTTAACAGTAAATCCAAATATAATCATGTGTCCCTTAACAATGGATATATGTTCTGAGAAACGCGCCGTTGTGCGAACATCATGGAGTGCACTTACACAAACCTAGATGGTCCAGCCTGCTACAGGCCTCGGCTGTATCGTGCAGCCGATTGCTGCTAGGTTACGACCCTGTACAGCATGTTGCTGTACTGAATACTGTAGGTAATTATAACACAAATCACTAGGCAACGGGAATTTTTCAGCTGTTATAATCTTATGTGACCACTGTTGTATATGCTGCTCGTAGTTGACCAAAGTGTTGTTATGTGGCCCATGACTGCATATATTATTTATATGAAGTATAAATACCACAAAATTTTATCAAAGGCCATAAAAAAGAGTTATTTAAATGATGATTCATACCACACTCTTAGACTAGGGAAGAATCAACAGTGTGAAGATATTCTCTTCAAATTTGTCTATAAATCTAATACAATTATAACCAAATCCACTGGGATTATTTTGGAGGAACTTAACATAGATGTGCAAGCATAGTTTATGTCACTATGCCCTTCTTACAGCTTGACCTGATTTAAATAAATGATGGGACAGAAATTTCTGGATGCCCAGGGCCCTGTGAAAGGGTCACCATGCTTCTCTCTTATTCACTACACAAAAACATGTAACATTCAGGAAGATTCCATACTGGTTCCAGTTTGTGGGGTGAATTTATTCATATACCTGCTGCACAGTACTGGACTCAAGCTTCCCACCTCCACCCCAAAGCTTTCTGTGGAATCTAGACAGAGGATTTTGCCTGTATTTAGTCTATAATGGCTCTTAGCAGAAATGGTTGGCAGTGATGCTATCCAATTATGACGCATTTGAAGGGGGTTTAATGAATTGGTCTCTCTCTTTTTATTTGTTTGTTTTGTGTGTATGTGTGTTTTAGTAATAACTAACTGGTACAATTTTTAGATAAAAATTTCTCATAAGAACTTTACGTCACATGTTACTTTTGTTGCGATGATGTGAAATTTATCTTTCCGAGAAATGCGTGCAGAGATCTAGGGGTGGCTTACTTCATTACAGTTAACAGTCATAATTTGCTTTTTCCATTTTTTTCCTAAGGAGGGGAGGGAATCATTAAATATAAGGTGCATGTCATGAGGGCGTCAGGGAATTTGACTTGTAGAACAAATATCAGGAACATTTTGAAAAATGAGGTTCACAGTGGGGGAGGTGGGTGGTGACAGGAATGGAGGGCACTGGGGTCAAAGGCGAGTGCCTGTGCATTGACATTTTGTGATGCTGAGAGAGGGTATGTCGGAGGTCATTATACTATTCTCTCTACTTGTGTGTGTGCTTTCTATATTCTCTAATGAAAATTTTTAAAATAAAGGAAAAAAGATTAGCAATCAAAGCAATCTTTTGAGAAAGCAAGACACTCACAAAACAAATAAGGTTAATGAAGAGATATCCAAAACTGCTAATCTAAATCTATAGTCAAAATTAAATATAACGTAAGAAGATAGTTATTCCTGAATCTTAGGAAAATACTAAAAAGTCTAATTTCCATTTTTTAGTAAGGATGGGGATGATAAGAAGAGACCTGTAATCATTCATCGAGCCATCTTGGGGTCAGTGGAAAGAATGATAGCCATTCTTTCAGAAAACTACGGGGGAAAATGGTAAGTGATATGGAAAAGAAAAGCTACATGTCTATTATTCTTAAAAGTCATGTCTAACAAGATAAATTTAGTAGGAAAAAAATGGCAGTTCCTGCCTTTTAATTCGCAAGAATCTAAACAGCAAATAAAAATTCTTGTTCCATCTGCCAGATCAGGAAAGAAAAAGAAAGAAAACAAAGGCAGAATAGCATAAAACTACACCATTTACCTTTTCGGGGACTCGGTGGAATTAGTTATCTTTTCACCTATTTCAAGCCCTTCAAAGATCTCGTTGCTGTCTGGAAAACACACAGCTCACACTCCCAGGTACTGCTCCTTGCCCTACAGCCATCCCTCCTTCAACCATGTCATTTGCCTTTGGGGGTTCCCTGTGGCCACTGAGGAGGAAAACATGTAAACTTGATCCATAAATGGACTGAACAGCGTACTGCACAACCCAGAGGGGACAGCCACGGCACTACAGCCCATCGAGGGATGACAGTGGGGAAGGGAGATGCCCTCGAGTGCAGAATTTTGAGTGGTGCATCTTATAGTCTTCGTTAGCTGGAGGGAAAACAGCCAGAGGTATGGAGTCACACTGATTTGTGAGATCTGGTTATTGCTTTGGCTACAAGGTCAGAAATTTAGAAGTAATTAGATAGAGAAATAAATGACACAGATTTGAGGAAGAGGAATGTGGAAGATTGCTCAGAATGGGCCATGAAGGTAGTATTGCCACCAAAAGGTCCTCATTGTTGAGGAATTTTTCAGTATTCACATACAAGAGGACCCATTCTGTTACAACCGGATTCTTTTTTTCCGTTTTTTCCCCTGTTCCCCTTGCTCAGTGGTTCACGAACAGAGTGGGATATATGTGGACTGAACAATATGGACCTTCCCTCACTAAGTTCCATCTGGCCACAACTCTTCTGAGGACTCAGTTTGCCACGAGTAGTGATAAATCCTGATCCCCCAGTATGGTACCATAACCCAGGGGAACAGCCAGCTATTTTGTGGCATGTTGATTACATGGTTCCCTTTCATCACGCAAGGGCAATGATTTGTCCTCACTAGAAAAGATACCGACTCTGGATTTTGCTTTCCTGCTCTTTCCTGCCATGCTTCTGCCTGCAGCACTGTGTATGTACTTCATGAGCCTTATTTGCTGTCAGAAACACAGTGATGCTTCTGACTTTGAAAGTAATTTTATAGCAAAGAAGCAAGGCACCGAGCTGACACTGTGGGAGTCACTACTATCCCCATATACTCAGAAGCAACTGGCCCTACTAGCAGTTACAGTACCAGCCGGCAGATAACAGCTTGTAATGGTGCATCCTACAGCGTGTGGAAATGCTGCAAACCAGCAACCACTTATGTAGTTTTTGCCTCCCTTTCCATTTTTAAGAAATTGACTGAGTATCTGCTCATGCAGTGTTCTGTCTTCAGAATCTACTGCCCCATTGCTACTACTGCTAGGCACAGTCCCTGCAGTACCCCCGTGGACACAAGGCACTGGATGCTACTGCTAGGGTCACTGCCACAGGTTCCTCCAAAGCTCCATGTTTCTGCATCACTCTTCCTTGCCAGAATGGATTCCACATGGTGCCTCCTTCTGTGTGCCACTCTGCCTTAAGTCAATGTGTCATGTTTCTGTATCAGTTTGGCAGAACCTAGATCACAGGCAAGCATTCATGTCTGGGGAGGGTAGGAAAGCAAATTTCCTAGCAGGAAACATAACTTGGGAAATTTCCCTAACAGAGGGTCTTCCAAAGGTCCTCGGTAGCTAAAGAATCTGTGTATATCCCTGATGTTTTACTTGCAATCATAGAGAAATACACCTAGGTGCCATGGAATTTCCAAGCTATTAAAGTCACAGACAAGACAAAATATAGGTATGAATATGTATGCCACCTAAGTATGAATTAACGTGTTTACATTTCTTTCCAGTTGGTTCCATTTTAAATAGTGCAGCATAGGTAAGAGATAGTGGTGTCTTGCACTAGAACGGTAGCAATGAAAGTGGCAAAAAACTAAAGAACTGGTAGAACAGCAGATGGAGAGGGAGGCGGGAGATGGTGCCAGTGCATGGAGGGTGCCGTCCATCATTGCAGGGCTTCAGGCATGTCCCTGCACTGCACACATCCAGACTTCAGACACCTGCCCGGCCTGTGGGGGAAATCTCCCCAAGAGCCAAAAGCAGAAATGGTTAAAATATGGCCCCCTGGGGGGAGTAGGACTGGGGATGGGGTGAGGACAGAGCTCAAAAGGAAACATTTACTTTTCATTATATACACTGTATTTCTGTGTTTTATCATATGTATTATTTTTTTTGTTTGTTTTGAGACAGGGTCTCACTCTGTCTCCCAGGCTGGAGTGCAATGGCGCTATCATAGCTCACTGTAACCTCAAACTCCTGGACTCAAGCAAAATATTACGACTTTTATCATGTATTATTTTGTTTTTTTAATTTAAGAATAAATAAAGTGCCCATTGCATTTCCTTCCACCTTCAAACTAAATGCTCATTATGACAAGGGAAAAGGCAAACATGTCCCACATCAAACATTGCTTATCCTCACCCTCTACCTTTTTTTAAAAAAAAGTTACATTTTGAGATAATTGTAGGTTCACATGTAGTTGTAAGAAATTACACAGAGTTCCAGCATGCCTTTTACCCAGTTTTCCCCAACAGTAACATCTGTATACATTGCCATGACCAAGAAGTAGACATTGATACTACCCACCAAACTTGTTCGGATATCACCAGTTTGACATGTGCTCTTGTGTGTGTGTGTGTGTGTGTGTGTACTTCTACAAAATTGTGTCACACGTATAGATGTGTAACCACCACCAGTCAGGATGCAAGACAGTCCCATCACTTGTAGGCTGCCTACATTGTCACAGTTGCCATGTCTCACTCCTGTCCACTCATCCAGTAACTACAAACGTGTTCCCTATCTTCATCATTTTATCGTTTCAAGAATGTCACATAAATGGAATTGTACCGTATACAGCCTCTTGAGGCAGGCTTTTTTTTCCCACTCAGCTGAATTTCCTTGAGAGCCATCCATGTTGTTTCGGGTATCTATAGTTGATTCCTTCCTTTTGGTGATAGTGTCCCAGGGTGTGGATGACCAGGGTGTGACCATTCACCGACTGAAGGACATTTGGGGTGTTTCCAGTTTGGGGCTTTTATAAAGCTGCTATGAACAGGATTTTGCATGAACATATATTTTTATTTCTTTGGGATAAATGCCCAGAAGTGCAATGCTGGGTCATATGACAAGTGCATGTTTAGCGTGTCTGGCTGCCTGCCAGCCTATTCTCCCTACTCTTTTCCCATCGAAATTCCAAATTTCCCCTTTTGTCTACTCTACTGCCTTCAAAGTCTTAATATAGTTTGGTTTTCTTCCACACCACTCTACTGAAACTGCTCTCTCTCAAAGTCTTTAAAAAATCTTTGATTATTTTTAAATCACATAATAAGTGGTCACTATTAAACTCTGAAGATACATATTTTATATATTTTTCAGGCCTTTCTGGCTGTCTCCTCGCCAGGTAATGGTCATCCCTGTGGGGCCAACTTGTGAAGAATATGCACTTCAGGTACAACCAGAGACATTTAAAGTTCATAATAGTAGTGCCCGTATTCTGTGTAGATCATCGACAAGGAATGTCATTCATGCTTTAAAATATTGTGCAACTAACACATTAACTTAACCAACCATGTTTTCCGTAATTGGGAGTAACACATGAGTTGTTTCTATGTAGCTCTACTAGCACATTGATGGACAGGATTTTGTGTGAACATGTTATTTTATTTTTTAACGTTTTTGAGAAATTGGTATTTTAAAACATCTCATAATTAAATTAGTCCTCTCCACATGGCTCTATTCGGGAAGAATACTTTATCATCCATTGCTACATCACAAATTACCCCATAACTTAGCAGCTTGAAACAACAAACACTTATTGTCTCTCAGTTTCTGTGAGTCAGGGATGTGGGCACAGCTCAGCTGTCTGACTCTGCCGAGAAGACCCAGGAGGCTGCAGTCAGGCGGTGGGCAGGGGCTCTAGTGCTGGGGGCTCACTTGCATAGTCATGGAGACTTCGGCTCCTCACCAAGTGGGCTTCCTCATAGGTTGCCTGAATGTCCTCACAGCATGGCAGCCAGTTTCCCCCAGAGCGAGTGATCTAAGAGTGATGAGAGCTGCGGCCTTTTGTAAGCTAGTCTCAGAAGTGGCATGTGTCACTTCTGCCTTCTCTGCAGTCACACAGACTAACTGTGGTACAGCATGGCAGGAACTACACAATGGTGTGAATGCCAAGAGGTGGGGAACATCCCGGGTCGTCTTGGAGGCTGGCTACCATAAATAATGTAAGAATCAGCATGTTTCATTTTTTTCTAGGTATCCAGTGAATTTTTTGAAGAAGGATTCATGGCTGATGTTGATTTAGATCACAGTTGTACACTGAATAAGAAAATACGAAATGCACAGCTGGCTCAGTATAATTTTATTTTGGGTAATTTAAGTTTGTATATATTTTCCAAGTGCTTGGTTTTTTCACTTTAATTCCAAAAAAACAAAATAAGGAATATGGTACAACTACTTGATTATCACAATTTGACTGTTTAATACTTACACGCAAAGAGGAGTCCATGGTGTTTCTGGGTTTGCTGTTCCTAGTACTCTTTGTTATTAAGATTTATAAAGTTTCACATGAATTTCATGGTATAATATTAGTAGCAATAGTTAATACTGCAAACCAACAATTAAAAAAATGTGAAAATGATCCCATCCCGTCAGTGGAATTATACTCCTTATGTGTCAGCCTGACAGAACTAAGATATTTTCCCTCGCTCTTCTGGTTTGTTGGGAATCTTTGGGATTAAATTAATGGATGGAAAAATTCCAAATTTAAAATGATCCAGAGAAAAGGATTTAGGTGAGAAATAAAATGTCCTTGAGGCAGACCAGTAATTGGATACAGAATTTAAACTTTTGGCTTTAAAAATGATTCCAAAATCAAGAGAAACTGACTTTGATATGATCCAGGCATGGGTATTGCTATCTCCTGTAAGCTGAAAGAGTCTGTAAAAGGCAAAATAAATGTGCACAGAGTTGTCCCACTGACAGTTTTTTATTGATAATGTTTGACTCTGTAGTAGGTATTGTGCTGTTTCAATCAGCCTTCTTGTGGTGACAGCAATCTCAAATTAGCTTAGACAAAGACAGTATTTATTGAAAGGTTCTTAACTATTAGAGGATGAACCTAATGGTCATTAGATTGACATTTAGTGATTAATATTGAAGAAAAACTCAGTAAGACACATGTGTCATGTGACTTTTGAATTAATGTTTAGTAAATTGTTGATTTAAAATGTTTATTTCCCTTTTCTACAGTGGTTGGAGAAAAGGAAAAGATAAATGATGCTGTAAACGTTCGAACAAGAGACAACAAAATTCATGGAGAGATTTCAGTAACTTCTGCCATTGATAAATTGAAGAATCTCAAGAAATCACGTACACTAAATGCTGAGGAAGACTTTTGAAGTCCTTTCTTTATACTTCTATGTAACTTTGTTTTGACTCTTAAAAATGTATTTTTCTTATCCAGTTAACATAGTAGTACTTTTAAGAACTGTAGACCCCCTGATGGGTCCACTCGTGGGCTCAGTTAAGAAAGGAGACAATGAATGAGTAGCTGATCTGTACAAAGTTTAATTCACTGTTGTACTCTGGGGACAATAAGAGGGCAAGCATGGGAAATTGTTAAGCAATCAGTGCCTTGAGAGACTTAAATGGGGAAATGTTATTCATTGAGAGAGGGAAACACTAGGAAATGAGGATTGTGAAATGTTATAAGATTTGTGATTTTCAGAAGGTAGGCTTCAAATAAAAGTCTGCAAGGTTTTTTGAACATGGGGAAAAATCTTATCATGTCTCAGGTATTTTTATGACTATTCTACTAAAGTTCACACTGAAACTTTATCTTCAAAATTGCAATCATTACTTAATTTTGTTTTAACTAAACAACCATAAAAGCAGCAGCTAGCACTAAGTATTGGATTACTGACAAAAGACTCTGCATATCACAGAAACTCAGTGTTGTGGAATCTGTTGTTTGCACTGTGTGTTAAGAGTTGTCCTTTGAATGCTCTAGTTCATAATTGAGCCTTGTTCATCTTTAGAAAAAATAAAAACTGTATCACACAGTGTTTCCAGTGTTTCAGCTATGGGCTTCTACCACAGTAAAGCTGCTCACTTAGAGTTAAGTTACTTTTTTGATGGGATGACATTCCACTGATTGATAGACTCAAATGGATTTCAAATTTTAACTGGAAGGAATACCTTACTTGCTCAGAACTGAATTAAAATGGCTTTATGCCAGTAGAGAATTTAGCTACCAATCAAGAAGTATTTATTGTTTATTTGGCTAGGTGCTGTGGAATTCAAAATAAATGTAAGAAATGATCTCTCTTTTCAACATACTGATGATTTAGCTTCTCGAGGAATGTGAACATTAAACAGTTGGTAAACAAAACTTTTATTTCAGACCTGGGTAGTAGTGTAAGTTGCAGATTATGTGGTATAATTTTTAAAGCTAACATTTATTGAGGGCTTATTGTGTGCCAGGCACTATACATATATTTTTTTTTTTTCATTCATCAAACGTGCAGGTGAGGGAGTGGGTAGTCAGGAAACCTCAGAATGAATGATCTTGCAGCAGGTAGGCGGGAAGAGAGAAGCCTGTCAACAGGACGGTAGGAAGAATGCTGTGATGGAAACAGGTGCAGGTTGCCATGAGCTGCAGGCCTGGAGTGTAGCTCTCTTCCCCAAGGCCGACCTGCTCCAGGGAGGGTCTGTGCTTCAGACCCTCCTGCCGTATCGCGGCACCTGGCTGTTGTCCCAGTGTCTCGGGGCCTGCCCTGCTTCTCCCCATCTTCGGTGAACTTTCTGGAAGCACCAGGTATATTTCAGGAGTTGACCAGGGTGAAACCCAAGGCAGGCTTCCAGCCCTGGATCCAGGGGGAGTGGGTCCCTCGGGCTGCTTGTCACACCCTGCGGCCACAGGTTACTCATCTGTAAATAAGGACCTTTAAAGTATGAAATGAAACGTGATAATGTCATCAGAACTTATACACTGTACCTGGCACACAGTAGCAATTTTTATCTGTAAACATATATATACAGACAGAAAAACAGTGGCCAGCTTGCCAAATTTGCCTGCCTCTGTATTCAGTGGCTTCAGGCGTGAATTTCGGTACCTAGATGACTCTTTCCGGGTCTCCAGCGGCGGAAAGAGAAGTGAGCGCCTGGTCAAAGGGTGTGAGGGGCACTTGGGGACTGAGCAACCTCACAGGTCTCATTCCTCTCCAGGACATCCTCGGGGCGCAGCAGCGGGCAGGGCCGGGGGAGACCAGAGCAAGGAAACACACAGGCACGGCTGCCAGAGCCCCAGTGCGCCTGCGCGCCCGGCTCCTCAGACGCAACCGGACCCGTCTCCGGCGCCCCGCCCCCACGGAGCCCGCCCCTTGGCCCGGAAGTACACGAGCCGGCAAGATGGCGGCTGTGGTGGGTCCTTTGCAGGCCCTCCACTATCTCTGTCGCGTGCTGTTCTTCTTCTGGCAGTTCTGCATTCTGCTGGGCGATGGTGAGTTAAAGGCCGGGATCCGCGCCGGTCGGGCTGAGTGGCAGGAGGGCCCCAGTTGCTGTAGGCAGACGGCGGAAGGTGATGCGGAGAGGAGGCTGAGTGGCGGGCTCTGGGCGACGAGTCACTGCATCCCGAGGTAGCCCCTCAGCTTAGCGACGCCGAGCCCCGCTTCAGGAGCCCTGGAGCAGAGGTGGAGCGCTCGGGGCGCTGCCGGGGAAACGGAACTGGAGCCCGATACGACCCTTCGTTTCCTAGTTGCCCACGGACCTGAATTGTTTTCGACCCCGTCGGCGTTTCGTCCTTTGGTGTTCTATTTCTGGCTATTAAGTCGTGAGGTTTTTGTGAGCATTTATTGGCCCGGTGTCGACCCTGCACGTTGACCACAAAAAACAAGTTTTTCCTATCCCGGGATAACATGTTTTTCTAATTGTAGGATGCTTAAATTTAGAGCATTCGCAGCCGATGGCTCAGTCAGTAAAGGATCCGGGCCCATTATCTACATTCACGGTAGCTGCCAGAGCAGCAGATACTAGGCATCTTCTATGCTAGTATGTGTGCATTTGTATCTAGAAGTTTCTGTTTTAACAAAATTTCTTGTAGTATACGAAATCATTTTTCCATTTTTGAATGTTTTATATATTGTATTTTAGATTATGTGAATTAAGGGCAGATACACAACCATTTTCAGTAGACATTCCTGGTATTTGGATACCTTTTTATGTTCCTGATTCATCTCTTTTTCCAGTCTCACGTTCTTCATTTCTGTCTCATTTCTATTATTTTTGCACTTCATCCACCAAAATAACTTTCAACTAATGCTTCTTTCCCTTTCGAAAGTTTCTTCTACTTCTAGAACCGTGTTCCTGATGTTGGATACTAAAGGCACCCCTAAGGCTGTGTGAAATGGAAGGGTCACAGAGGAACTGATCGAAACCTGGAGTCTAGATCTATCTGGTTGTGCTGCCCACCGCCCAGCTTGAGCAAATTGTTCATCCCCTGTGGGCCCGGGTCCTCATCTTTAGAGCGGTGGAGGGCCCTACATCATTTCTGCGTGGTGATTCTAAGTGTCCTGCCTCCAGCCAGGTTGTTATAGGAACAATAGGAGAGAAAGGGGTATTTTGTAGAATTGGCCACTTAATACAATAACTTAAGTAGGACCAGTTTTAAATGAGTATTAGTGTGTTTTGCTAAATGGAACCGTTGACCTTTGGCTCCGTAATTTTATCCCTGTAGAGTTCCATTACTTCAAGAAATTGAAACTGGCTGAGATGGTTTACTGATTCTTATTTGGCCGTGAAAGTCAAAGTCAGCAGTGTACTTGAATTTTAAATTATTATTACTTTTTTTTAGAGAAAGCACAGGAGTTCTTGGCTCTTTTGCAGGTTTTTGAAAGACCCTCTTCATTTTCAAGAATACTTGCAGTTTTGATCCTCTCTTAAATGATAAAAATATATTGTACACCTCGTTAGGTTGGCTGGAAAAAAGTTACAACTTGCTGAACACGTTATTAAAATAGAGAATTATTTTGATTTTTGGTAGTATAAAACTGTAAGTGTTCTATTAGCAAATTATGGCTTATTGATTTACCAGTGGGAGTAATGACAGAACATTTTATAGAGTTGGTGCCCTGAGAGTGTCAGGGGCCTCATTTCTAAAGTACTCAATTCAAATGAAAAGAATTGGATTGGAAATGGAGAGATTAGGTTCTAGTTCCAGTTTTACCATGATCTTCCTCTGTGATTTTGCACAAATCCTACCATCTCTGAAGCTTTAGTTTCTCATCGTATAGAATGGTAGATTTTTGAGTCCCTAACTTGTACACGGCATTTTCTGTACATAATTTGTACGTGAGCACCTTTAGTTTTCATGGCCACTTGGGAAGCAGGAAGGAAAAACTTTTTATGAGTGTGGTGCTCACCAGGGCACACAGCTGGCTGGCAGCAGAACCCTGCTTTAATTGCAAGTGTCTCTGACTCCAATTCTGTGTTTTTCCCATTCCAGTGTAGCGTCTCATTGCTCATGATCATGTCTCTTCACCTTAGAAAATTGCTTTCCTCTGTTATTCTGATCAGTATTATAAGGGAATAACCGTCTCTCTTACCTCTCACAGAAAGTACCGAAATCCCACCTTATATGATGAAGTGTCCAAGCAATGGTTTGTGTAGCAGACTTCCTGCCGACTGTGTAGACTGCGCAACAAATTTCTCCTGTGTCTATGGGAAGCCTGTCACTTTTGACTGTACAGTGAAACCATCTGTTACCTGTGTTGTAAGTACTGCAGCTTACTTACTCTAAATAAATTCATTGTAAACTTCGAGTTAAAAGTGCAGTTTAGACTTAACTATTAGGGGGAAGAGACTGAAATAATTTTTTATTCTTTTATGACTGCCTTGTTGAGTATGTAAGAAATAAAAATCCTGTAGTCCCTTTCATATCAGATCGGTACTGTTCCAATTATTATAATAACTGTCAAGCCAGTTGATGTCAGCTGAAAATGCAGGTGACAGAAATGTTCCTTTGTAGGACTTGGGTATCTAAAGCAGGTACAATTTGTTCAGATGGTTTTGCATTCTTAGTAGTGACAACTAGCTACAGAGGGGATGGTAATGTGTTTTTACCATAGATGAGCATCAGGCTAGGGCTGAGGAACCTGGATTCTGCTCCTGACTTGCAGCTCAGTGACCTGCAGCGAACATACTCATCTGTTCCTTCCAGCTATCTGTGACTGACACTTTATAAATTTTCCTTTGCTCTGTATTACGAAAGTGTACATGCTAATTATGAAAAATTTAGCTAAGCAAAAGTGATGAAATAAGTGTTATTACCCTGAAATAACCTTTGTTATTTTGATGTGAATTTATCTAGGTTTTTTCCCGTAGGTATTACCTATTTGGGTAT